ACTTGACACCTTTAAATTTTTTTTTTTGTTGTTTTTTTTTTAAATTCTTTTTTGACCTTTTTTTTTTTTTTTTTTTTTATTCCATTTTTAAGTCCCATCCAGTGGATAATTTTTTTTCTTAGAATCTCTTTCTATCACAAATGTGTTTCTTGAAATGTGGAAGGACTCCGAAGTCCTCCAGAGGAAAGCCACAAGTTGGCGTAGGTAGTGTCTGAGCAGAGCTGACCATCTCATTGGTACTACTACATGAAATTTGTACATGGCAGTCTTGTTTTACATTTTATTGAAACTGTTCTCCAAAGAATCCAATCTACTGAGATCACAGTTTTGTTTTAGTGCGTAAAGATTGTATGAGGAAAAAAAGAAACGCTGCATTATAGACCATCTTCCTTATGGCACAATTTCAAATAATATTCCCGTAGGTAAACAAGGAAATGAAATGGTTAGTATCCATTTAAATTGCAGGTAACGTGTATAATAATAAATGTTATATACATTAAAAAAACACTCACTATAAAATGAAGAAACTGAGCACCAACTCAGTCCTGCACGATAGCAGTAGAGGAAAAAAAAATTTCACAGTACATATATAATACTATTACAATACAATAATATAACTCATGAAATACATTAAATCTAGTTTCAAATCCGAAATCTATATAAAAAAATAAAATAAAAATGTATCTAACAAACCTCCTAGATTGTGCACTTTCACGAGCAGGGTCCACCTAACCCTCTTGTATTGGGACTATGCTGCCTTTTTGTAAAGCGCTGCACAACAGTTGGCACAACTTAAATCCCGCAAAACATTTTTTATTATTATCATTATTTTTATAATTTAATAATAATTTTCATTTGTATTATTTATGAAGACAAGACTGTACATAAGATAGGACACAATATATATTTTTTTAATATAACGTACTGATTTACAAACTAGAGGTATTGTATATGTACTGTGCTCTGAGATCCCGGCCTTTTTTTTTTCTTTTCTTTTTCCCTTCCCTTTTACCTTTTTTTAATAGTAACATTATATATAAATAACAATTATGGATCTAGATATAAAAGTCTTCCAGGTACTTATTAACACAATAAGTTGAGTCATTTCGTTTTTTTATTTAGTTAGCTGGTCGTTTATATTTCATAATTCAAGCGGTGTATGTGGGAAAGGAGCTTCTGCCAAGCCATAGCCGGAGTTCAGCTCTTGAAGTGATCTTTCTATCTTCATGTACGCCTTTTAAGACAGCAGATTACCTCCGAGGCATTTCTGCATTTCAACTGAACGTTCAGTGGGAGGGTCCGTTGCACAAACACCTGTTGTTTCGGGAGCACTTACAACCTCTTGTTCAGAGAAGCCTGCAGCAGCCGCAACGTCTGGTTCTAAATCTGCTTGGTACAGTGTCTCAACCTGCAGTCCGTGTGCTTCTCATGAGTTTCACAGAAACTTTGTCCTGTTTTGGACTGACTCATAGTAGTTTCAAAGTTTTTTTTGTTTTGCCCAAACCTTTCTTTTTTCTTTTGGATGAAATAAGGAATTTTTTTTGTACCATCGGGGAAATTTCCCTTCACTTCCTGTCCACGATGCAACAGGAAGTTCCAAGAAATCTTCCAAAGTGAGGGAATAGCCCTCTTATGGTGGTCAGACACGCTGATGAGTGAGTGATAAAATCCATATCCATTACGATCGATACGTCACAAATGTAAAGGCAGGTTTAAAAAAAAAAATGAAGTCCTCCGTCACATTGTATCACCAACATATGCCATCTCCAAATAGTCTGATCAGAAGTTTAAGGGTTGAAATCTCAACAGTTTTGATCCAGCTGTCCCGACTGACCGACACTAGGCAAACCTAAAGACAGGTTCCATCAATGTGCTGAAAAGGGTTGAAATCTGAACAGCTGATGGGTGTAGAACATTTTTTGATCTTCACATCATCCAATTGGCGATATCAATCAGAACCGGTACAGTCGGTTGAAGATCAATTGCAGACACCATGTCCATCAGACGATTGTGCGTCGTTAGAATCGCCTCCATTGAACTGCGCATTGATCTTTTGTTTTATCAACTTGCCTGTGGCCACCATTGGACACTTCTTTTTAGTAACCAAAATAAGCACTTAACCCTTGGGGGGTGGGGAGACCAGGGAGGGATGTACTG